CCCCCATTGTGCAACTTAATACACATCACCAACAGGAGAATTTCAGCGTATTTTATAAAATTATTTTACTTTCATTGTCTTTCTTTTTCAATGAGCGTCTAAAATGTGATTATTTCTCTGATGTATTATGTAAGTATAAGAATTTACAACGGTTTTGAATTTTGGAAAAGCCAAAGTCATTCAATCAATGACGAGATAGACGACCAAACCAACCAGATTTATGTATGAAACTAGTGTGAACAGTTCAGACTTCGTAATCAATGTTGTGAACTTCGGAGGCGACGGAAATTGTGATCAGAAGTTGTGGCAAGCAATGGCAAAGTTCAAATGAGTTTAGAAACATGAAAACTTTCAAACAGGGATTTTGTTCATGCTTCATACACATTTGGTTCCTAAATCAACATTCGATATTTGTGTATAACTAGTTATTACATGTTACAATTCACTATTAATTTCATTAGAACACAATAAGCTTTCTCTCTACATGCCCAGAATTAATTACATTCACTGTTCCAATTATTTATAACTTTGGCCATTTAAGCAACATAAAGACATAAAGAAAGGAAAAAAGATCTGGGAATAAAGATAGGAATAAGCCGATATTATCATATCATAGCAGCAAACACTGAAACAAGAAATAAAGAAAAAAAACATAACGGCTAAAGGAGAAAGGAGGATAAAATATAACAAATAAAAATTTTCGTAGCAACTTCGTAACTTTTCAAGAAATCTTGGTATAAAAAATGGAGTGTAGATGAAAACTGAAGTGTACACAAGAACATTATTAATGCCAGACCATTTGCATAAGCTCTGAAGTTGATACATTAACAATATTTTGAGGCAATGCGGTCTTGATGCAAAAAAGTCTGTTTGTGTTTTATTTGCAGTTTGAATATTATTTCGATTTTAATTTTAGGCAACCACCATGAAAAATATTTTTTAGTTTACTTTCATACCTAAAATGTAAACGAGGGAAGTATTAATATGGAACTTAATTTTCTCAACAAAATTAATGAATATACTGTATGTTTATCGTGTGTTAAATATACAATTGAATAATAAACAAACCAAATTTGGGTTATTTTAGGCGAATTTTGAAAATTACACGAAGTGCTCGCTACGTAATCGGATACTAATTTATCTTTCCTATTAATTTCCAACTACTAGTACTTTCATTCGAATTAAACATTTGTTTCGAATGGAATCATTTAAAAATGATTCATTCTGTCTCGGTTTTGGGGTGTTGTTTAAACCCTAAAAATTCAAATAATGGGTTTTAAGAAATTCATATTTCATTCGTTTCCTTTTTGTGTGGAAAACAATGATTCTGTAATATTCTTCTTCAAAAACTACGCAGATGAGTTGCCGTGCCTTCTTTGTACAGCAGGATAGAGAACAAGTATAGGTGGAGTTACTTTGCCACTAAATTTTATCTTTATATATTATAAACAAATATTTAACACAACATAATATTATTTCAATATACTTATTTCAAAATTATCTTTGAAGAACAAATTTTAATAAGGTAAACATTATTATCTTTAATATTTTAGTTGTAGTTTGAAATAAATATGTACAAAACAACTAGTGTTTTCGCAATACAACAAAAAACGGTTAATCCTATGAACGTGTTCTTTTTTGGTTTTGTAGATTTCCTTTGGTTTTCAATGCTTATCTTACAAGTTATTTAATACAGTATAGATCGGAAGACATACGTGTTTTTCGTAGAGCCCTTGTGGAAATGCGCAAAAATGTTCGAAAAAATTCGAAAAAAAATTCTTGGTATTTAAAAACAATTTCTACTATGTTTTGAGTTATGTAGCATCAAATAGTTGAAGTAATATTTTTTATTTTTTGTTTTTCTACATGAAAGGTGAAAAGATTTGTGAAAGAAGGCGAGAGAGTGTAATCGGTAGGCATTAGGAAAAATATAAGCAATGTATTTTCACACTATTGGTGGTTTAAAAGGGAATTGTGTTTTGTTAGAAAATTTGAAAAGATCTCTTATAGTTGAAATGTCAACATAATATTTCAGAAATAATATTGAAGGCAGTTTTGGGTTGCAAACTGCGTTCAACTACTCACCCTCAACCTGACATCTTCAAATTACTTGACAGAATGGTCTTCCATTGACAAAAAATATAAAAATGGTTTTGATGATGGACTGGCGGAATTGAAAATAAATGTAAATGATGTCAAACAGATTTTTATTCTTCTTACAGAGAAAATACGAAAATAAAGGAATCAGCTCATAGTTTTTACAGCTAGGTTTAATATTTTGTGATCGTTTTTTGACTGTGAAACAATACTTTGAGAGTCTCAGGTGTCAAACTTCACGCCAAATAGTTTTCAAAAACTATTTCCTTTCTAAAAATTTTCGCGTTAAAGGATCCATTTTCTTTAAGAAGCTTTGTAATAATGACATCACAAGAATTAGTTTATTTCTTAATTGTTGCTCTATCAAAATTTGGTTAAGACACCTAAAGCCTCCAACCAATATTTACAATGTAAAATCTGGTAATGATACAGACATTTAAAACGTGGCATTGCCTGAACTTGTAAGCCATTTGTGGTATTTGACCCCAGATAAGTTGCTTTCGCTTTTTTATAAAACTGATATACAATTCAAATTGAAAACGGCTGCAAAAATGTTTATATTTTTATGAAAATGGTGGTGATGAAGAATTAAGCAATCTCTTCGAGCTTGAGAAAGAAAACGTACATTAGAGTAAGAAAGTTGACGCCAAAATCGCTTTGAAAGAAGCTCAGGATGGTTTGGTCTAAGAAGTACATTACTTCATAAGACCTCCGACATTAAAGTTCTTCAAAAGCTTCAACATTTCAACGCATCTACATTCCGATCCGTACGTTTTGATTACGACAGATTTCTTGAAGGACGGGATTGTTTCTGTAATGTCAACGACACAGCCGAAGGAGGAGGCAAATTAATTCATGACTATAATGTGAGCGTAAGAAAAGATGAAAGGCAGAAACCGGATGTGTTTTGCAGAATGTCGGACACAATTAACATCCTCTCAAAATCTCTATTTTAGGCGATGGTAGCGAAATACTGACAAATCTGGCCAATTTGCCCAACCATCCCTTTGAATTATTGTAACACATTCATCATACAATCTGTTTTTAAAATACCCTTTCTATCTGCTGTTAATGAAAATATTTTTTGTAATATTTAGTTTAGTATTTTAAAATGATTATTTATTAATTACGATAAATCATTGAACGGTGAGTCAATATTTTCTTCACCCTCTTGATCTATCCGATTGTTTTCAGCCATCTGTTGGAAATATACAAGTACAATTAAAATCATATTACTTGAACTAT